AGGTCATAGGAAGGAGGGAGGAGGCTTGTTTTCTGCTGCCCGGTAGACTAGGACATGGAATAATGACTAAATGGAGCATCCACCCCCTCAGGAAACAATGTTTTGGCAGAGATGACTGAATAGCTTCCTGGGGGGGATCACTCATGCTTATAATTTTGAGGCTTTCTTAAAGTTGGCAAAAAATTGGAAAGTAATAGTTCTGTGTAAGTACTCCAAATGTTTTCTGTCTTTATAATACAGGATTTCATAACAAAAATCACCCAAGAGCAACATAACCCTTATGCATATTGGATTGGACTGTCTTTATCACTGCCAGAGAAGAAATGGATGTGGACTACAGGCTCCCTAATAGACAGAAATATGTGAGTTCATTTTTTCATATTACCTCTGCCTCTCAAGATGGGCATGAAAACATGGGGATTTTATTGCTGAGACAATCTGAATATACAAAGGTCAATATCTGGGCCCTTCCAGGGGCCATAGCCAGAAAAAAATTTCGGGAGGGATTGAACATTTGGGGGAGCGGGAGTTGAAACCTGCCTCACGCTGAAGCAAAGAGCACAGCAGGGGGCAGAGCAGCCTTCTATACTCTGCAGCTCCACCCCTGTCAACCACCTCCATCAAGTCTGGCCTCCTTAATGAGAGCATTCAACACCCCCCCCCCAAAAAAAAACTTGGTTGCTTCACTACATTGGCTATTGCTGCAAGTAATGACAGTGTGAATAAGTTATCAATATTTGCTTGAAATAGTGCTTGCAGTTCTGGAGGGACTCTTAATTTTTTGCGTCTCATAGACTTAGTATGGGGATTTGGTTAACTAGTTAAAATTCATGAGTAAACCAGGTTTTTTTAACCTGAAAATAATCGGCGGGGGGGGGGTTAACACCCCCCCCCCACCCGGCTACACGCCTGGCCCTTCCACACAGCCACATAACCCAGAATATGAAGGCAGAAAATTCCACAATATCTGCTTTGAACGGGGTTATCTGAGTCCACAATGCCATATATCCCAGTTCAAAGCAGATAATGTGGGATTTTATTCAGCTGTGTGGAAGGGGCCTCAGTGAGAGAGAGGTTAGATGGTAGATTTCCCAGAGACAGGGAAACAGTGAGATTTCAAGGTGGCATCTCAGGCAGAGTTGGCAGGTTGATTTGTATTAAAACTGGGAAAAGTTACTACAGCCATGAAACCCACCGAGTGAATTTATGTTCTTTTCTTCTATAGAATCAAAGAACCAAACCACAGTGAAGAACAATATTGTGGAGCAATAAGGAACAGCAAAGTCATGTCTGAAGTCTGCAGTGTTGAATTCAAATGGATTTGTCAGAGGAACACAGTTTTGATATGATATTGTACGTTAATTCATGGGGTCATTATGTTGTTAATAACAATTTTGTTCTTTGCTAGAAACACAAACACACAAATAAAAACTCACCTAGAATGCATTTCTGTTTCTATAGTAATCACTCACTGAGACATGTTCAATTCATTATGCCAAGACTCACTCAGTTCAGGATATTAGACTAAAAGTTCTTTCCGTTGTGTGCTAAGAGTCCAGACATGGGTGGCACACAATTAGGAGGCACTTTCTCCTTCATACTCTAAATGTGAGATGGGCCACTACTAGAAACTAGTCTTAGGAATAAGGACTTTGTGGCATGTGCCTGCTATTCCACTGCAGTCGAGTTATTGATGGTAGATGAATACTGGATTGAGCACTTTTAATATTTCACTTCTTTTCCATTGTGAAATTGCACTGATTTGACAGTTTGTGGTCCTATGATTGTACTTCCACACTGTGGACCCATCCAGATGGAACCTTTCTCCCAGGAGCTTCCACCACAAACAAGAGGGTGGCCAGACACCGTTCCCAGTAAGCACAAAAGGAATCATTCACTATAAATGACAAAATATGAGAAATGTTCAAGTGCAGGAATATCCCAGTTCCGAGCCAAAAATCCCCATCTTTGAATACCTGTATGTCCCTGCACTCAGAAATCATGGGTTTTTTTTTATCCAGGTTTATTTCTGGGTTTTAGATGTTTGTTCCTGATTGGTCGGTTCCTAAAAAGGCAACAGTTGAGTAAAATGTGAAAACTTTGTGTGCCAGAAACTTCATGAAACATTTGGAGGGTACGTTTTCTCTGACCAGGAAAAGTTGTGGCCTCCCAATCAATGTTATACATCCTTTCACAATAAGAGCAATCAGGAATCCTAACCCTAACCCTCACCCAGGAACAACACCCTGTCTGTACAGATGGCCCTGCAGCTTATATAACCCAGGAACAGAACTTATACAATGATTCGCATCTTTGCATCTTAAGTTATCTTTTTAAAAACCTGCCCAAATTTCCAGTGGGATTCAGATGGGGGCCTCTAAATCCTGCGTTGAAGCAGCAAGCGTGGACGATGGAGGCAGAAATCCCAGGACCTCTTCTGAAGTCACAGGATTTTTTTGCCCCTGATTAAAACCTGCAATTTGCTATTCCCACAGCAGCCATGAAGCTCCAAAGAGTGCTTGGCCATCCTTGAGTGCTTTTGCTGGTATTTGCAAGGGCACCCACTTAACATGGGAAGGGGAGAGGAAAAAGAGGTGTTCCTCTTCCTTTCTATGAGTTTCACTGACACCCTTGCAAATGTCAGCCTGCAGCTGTGTGGCTGCAACTGTGTGGCCGGGGGGGGGGGGGGGGGTTGACCCATGCTGTTGAGAGTTGTAATTCACCCACAACTTTATTAGAAATGTGTGAAATTCCAGATATCAAAAAATTCGGAGATTCAGAGATATGAACTACCAAAATATAAAGCTGGAAGTGACGTCTCTGAAGCATTTATGAATCAAAACACAAGCTTCCCAATTTTATTGACAAATTCAGAAAATTGGTTGAATCGGACTTTCCTCCCAATGTAATATATTTCTCTGCCACCCTGGGGACATGGACTGTCTGGTGTGATTCACAAGGACAACCGCACACAGTTTTTTTCCCTTGTCAGTCAATCAGAAGAAGAAAGTTGATCACATGGCTTTCTACAAAGTTGGTCTATATAGAGCTGCACATGGGGCCTCCATTTTCTGTGATTGGGTGGTGCAGTGTTTGGAGAGAAAACAAATGTGTCCTTAGTTCCATTCAGTTTCTCTGCCTGTCTGTGCTTAAAACTTATAGGAGCACTGCTCTAGCTACTAGCTAGCTTAACTTTTTGATTTTTTTCTTTATGTCCCTTCATTGATATCTATTTTCCTCTGTTGGAATTATCCAATTTTTCCCCCCAAATTCTGCTAGGGCAGTGTGGGTGGGCATGCATTTGTGGGAAGCTTGACCCTCTCTCCCAACTCAATCGATAAATCATACCCTGTTGCACAGTGCAACCAGGAAATAGGTGGTTGCACTGGTGCCTTGAGAATCATCCCTCCCAGAAATCTTATTTTATTTTATGCAGTGTAGCCTGGCACACCCATTATTTTTTGTTGTTTCTTGGAATGACCAATATGCAGGCCTACTACTCCTCTTCACCACAAAGTCTTCCTTTTTGTGATTGTTTTGAACCATTTCTAATGATTTAATCAGAAGGGGTTTGCTTTGCCTTCCTCTGAGACTGAGAGTGTGAGTTGCCTAAGGTGCTTAAATGGGAAAAATTCCTAAAAATCAATGGAGGACCAGAGCATTCTTAAACCTGGCAGGAATTATGCTGTGCTCATGTTGTCTCAGCATGCAAAAATTCAAGAGGATACCTCTTTTGGTTTTTCAAAAAGGAAAATTTATTTCTAAAATCTTCAAAAACTTCCTAAAAATTATTAGATGACAAAATCTTTCTGAAACTTGGCATGCTTACAGTTATACATGTGTCCTACAAGTGTGGTAAGTTTCATCCTAATAGCCAATTTTTCTTCCAAGTCTCTGAGGCTAAATGTGACTTTGCCAAGGTGCTTAAATTGAAAAAAAAATCCTTAAAATTAGTGGTAGACCTGATGTTTCTGAAACTTTTCAGGAGTGATGCATTACTCATGTTCTGTTGCTGTGGAGCAATTCAAGAGAATATCTCTTATAGGTTTTTTTTTAAAAAATGTAATTTTAAAAATATATATATTTCAACTCAGTTAATAACCAAACGTTCTGAAACTTGGCAGGAATGATGCCCTACTCATGTTCTGTCTCTGTGGAGAAATTCAAAGGGATACTTCATTTGTTTTTATAGAGATTTTATTTTCTAAAAATCAGTAGATGACCAAAACATTCTGAAACTTGGTAGACTTACAGTTCTAAATGTGTTCTATAGCTGTGGCAAGTTTAATCCTGATAGTCATAAAATGACAGAAAAATGAGCCTAATGTACCAAATCTTACCTAAACATTAGCGAAACTCCTAATTTCAAAGTATGAATCAAAACACTCCCCCCCACACCCAGATCTTCCCAAATCTTCCCAAAATGACACAGGGGAGAGGGGAGGGATCTGAAATTTGAAATGAAGCAAAACTGATCTTTGCCATTTTGCACACCTCTAATCTTTATATGTTTTCTAATTGGAGCATTCATAAAAAATGAATGCAAACAAATACTATTTCTTATCAATAGCATTATAAAAGATCTAACCCAAGTATCACCAGGTACCTAAGCTAGTTGTAAAGAAAATGTATTCCCTGTTAATACAAGAGGGGAAAAGAGAAAATATTTTAAGTTTGAAATAAGGCTATATTTTCAATCACATTTTAATTAAATGTATTTATTTACTTATTGAATTTTACATTTTTCCACATGATACTAAAACACTAATATACAAATCTAAAATAAATAAAATATTACTATTAATAAAACATGCTAAAAGGCAATTAAAACACTTAGAACATATTTAAAACATAGTCTCAACAATACAATTAAAAACATTAAAAGAGACAAAATAAAAATTTTAAAATTGGCAGACTAAAATTGAAATGGGCAAGATATTATTTTCAAATATAAAGTGGATCTTCTGCCCCACTAAAAAAAAAACCCCTTCAATGACAGAAAACATCCTGGTGCAGTAAGCATTTGACAGATGAACAGTGACTTCTTTGCATTCTTCAATCTCCTGAAAACAAGGCTCAAACCATACGCAGAAGCACCAGTGGGATGAAACCAAGCCAAACATTAAGGAGTTTCATGTCCTCTCTCCTTACATTTCCAGGAGGATCTAGAAATGGCCCATCATACCTAAGAAGAAAGAAAGAGAAGTAAGAAATGGTAACATATTCCTTTCTAAAAGTATTGACAAGTTGGAAGGTGTCCAGAGGAGGGCAACTAAAATGATCAGAGGCCTGGAGACCATGAATTCCTATGAGGAGTGTCTTTAAAAATTGGGAATATTTAGTCTGCAGAAGAGAAGGTTGAGAGGAGACATGATAGCCAAGTATAAATATGTGAAAGGGTGTTATAAGGAAGAAGGAACAGGCTTGTTTTCTGCTGCCCTTGAAACTAGGATAAGGGGCGATGGGATCAAATTACAGGAAAGGAGACTCCATCAGAGCATTAAGAAGAATGGCCATCTGTCAGGGGGTGCTTTGAATGCAATTTTCCTGCTTCTTGGCAGGGGGTTGGACTGGATGGTCCATGAGGTCTCTTCCAACTCTATGATTCTATGATTCTAAGAAATTCCTGACCATACAAGTTGTTCAACAGTTCCAGCTGCCTCAGAGTGTGGTGGAAGTCCTTCCTTGGTAACTTTTAAATAGAGGCTGGATGGCCATCTGTCAGGGATACTTTGATTGTGCTTTCCTGCATGGCAGAATGGGGTTGGACTGGATAGCCCATGCAGTCTCTTCCAACTCTATTATTTTATGATTCTATGATTCTATAATTCCAATTTATTCAATTGGTCTACTTTAGTCAGGCCTAATAAAGAATTTAGGTCAAAAAGTCAAACTTACACTAGTGGGGTCAGTGTGGGTTACACTAATATATTCTGTGTCTCAAAAATGTCTGCAGGAAAAGAAGCCATCATTTTGTTTTTTCTGGGTTTAGGACTTGGGAGATCGGTTATATTTTGATGTGAATCTGGTACTGCCTGTATCCTTGCTTTTCTATCTCAGGGTGCTCAATGTTTATATTGCTAGTTATTAATTAGAAGTCTGAGGTGCCTCCCCCTCTGCAAAGACTGAATGGACTTTCTCCTTCAAGCAGCCAAAGATTTCGTACAAAGCAGAAGTTTAGTACCTTTTAGAGTGCTTCAGTGCATGTGCACAGCAGAAATACAGCTTCAGAAGGTCAGGCAATGTCTCACGTTATCTCCCTGCTACAAACCCAGGGTTCTTCTCTTGTGCAACCAGAGCTGGCAATACTTTTATGGTTCAAATATGCACATCTTACTCCTGCTTCAGTGGGAAGTCCAAGGAGCCTGAGGAGTAACAAAATTCTGTCAGGCAAAGGAATTATAATTGGTGTGAAGTCAGATAGTAGACATCCAAGGTCTCTTTTGGAACAGCAAGGCATGAAGACTGAGGCTGAAAAGACACAGCCATTTATCTGCCATCACTCAAATGAGAATTATTAGAAATATAAATTTGCCATCTTATGTGAATAGTGGATAACTATTAGTTCCAGGTAGGGATGGTTCTGCCCCAACAAGGCTGTTGTGTAATTGTCAGTTACCATAATTTGTAATGCTGTTCTTTATAGATCTATATAGACCTGTCTTGTATGTCTCTTGGATTCTTCGTCCTTTATAGATCTGCCTTTAATTCTAGTTTTCTACTGTATGAAGGTTCTTGTCCATGGATTTATTCTTAATCTCATCTTTTAATTTATCCCCCACTCATTATTTCATTCTTTCCCTCCCACTTTAATTGCTGTTAATGATATCCATGAGAAAGTTGAATTTTCATTTATCTCATTTGTTGAATGTTAGTTCACTGACTAGATAGATATTTAACTAAACACAACAAATGTCGAGGTTGAACACATGTTGCTACACTAGGGCATTCTGAACATTTGATCTAGGGTTGCCTGGTTGAAAACTACAGTAGAGTCTCGCTTATCCAACATAAACAGGCTGGCAGAATGTAGGAGAAGCAAGAATATTGAATAATAAGGAGGGATTAAGGAAAAGCCTTGTTTTTCTAGGCAGCAATGCGCTGTTTGTTTTCCTAGGCAGCAATGCGCAGCAGGCCTTTCTGCGCCCCGGGAGGGGTGAGACGCAGTCGGTGCAGACCGGACACTGTGCCCGATGGTAAAAGTCTGTGTCAACCATGTCTCGTCCCTCTGTGCATTGTTACCTATAGAAACATTTGTGGATCCAATTGGGAAGCAGACTGCGTTGGATGAAACAGAACATTGGATGAGCAAAGGTTGGACAAGCAAGACTGTACTGTATAAAGGTTTGGGGTTTTTTACGTGTAATGGTTGTACAAAAGTAGGAATATCTGGCCTTGATAGTCATCAATCAATACCTACTGAAAAAAACCCTCTTTTATACAGGTAGTACAGATACTTCTCCAATTTTCCACCTTCCAAGCCTTGATTTGGGAGCTTTTTGCTTCAAACAGAAAAGGAAACTCACTGTTCTGGGAAACTGCTGACATTTACCCATTTCCAGAGTTGACCAGATTCTTTCCGGAGACCAATCCAATGATCAGGAAGACTCTTGTAGCGTAAAAGGAAATCCTTAATCAAGGAAAAAAGGAAGGACAGATTAGCAACTCCAGTGAGAGTGAGAAATTATTTGAGAATTAATATAAAAAATAAAACTGTTGAATGAGACATGGACCCATAGCCCTATTTAGAAGTTTGAACATGTGACATCTGTGATATAGTAGTCCCTCTTCAGCCCCAGATCCCTCATAAACTTATTCTAATACTTTTTTTAAAAGTTGGGCTGAGAAACTAAGTAAATCTACCGGTATTTTCCTTTCGCTATGACATAAAGCTGTGAAATCCACTGCACCTTCAAGTTTGCTGCTTCTGTTTTGTTTATTCTGTTTGATGTCGAAACATTTTTATACATTACATTTTTGGGCAATAATCCAAAGCAGATTATAATACCCTCTATACCAAGAGCACAATCAAACTGATGGATACAATAATTGTATAATCCTATAATAAAATGCAAGTGGCATAGAATTCAATAAAAGACCTCTGGGGAACCATGTCTCCAAATGTTGATACCTACTACTTCTTCCTGAGAGTCAACCACAGCCAAGGAGGCATT